CCATCCATCCATCCATGTATCCATCCATCCATAATCCATCCACCCTTCTTTCTTTCCTTCCATCCATTTATCCATTACTCTAACCACAATCACTAGGATTTTCTGAGTGCCTCAGAAACCCTATACAGGGCTGCTATGAGTTGGAACCAACTTGATGGCACTTAACAACAACAACAACAACAACAACAAGGCATGGTGGGGGGTGGAGGAAGAGCAGAGACCTAGCTGGACATGGCTTCTGTTTTCCTGAAGCAGACATGTGACTCCCTCTCTCAGAATTTTCATTTCGGAGCAAGCTTTGGGGCTTGACCTACCTTGGCGTTGGGGCTCAGGGGAGGTGTGTGGTGTTCGGCAGCCTCCTCTAAGCCCACGGGACTGGGTGTTCTGAGCTGCTGGCATTGTGGGTGCTAGGGATAGGAAATCCAAGGTTATGGGGTCTGGATGGCCAGTCATTTGCATCCCTCCTGTCCCACCCCAGGACTTGCTGGAGCACAGCTTTACCCTGCCCAAGTCTTGGGTTCTTCCTAGCCTTAACATGTTCCATCTGGAATTCTCTTCTGCAGAGGCCAGGAGCCCAAGGAGAGCTCACGAGCGTGGAGCACAAACTTGCCTTGAGGGTGCCCGGGCCCTAACACTCTGAGATTGTGGGGGTAAGATGGGGCTGCTGAATATGAAGGAGAAGGGGGCAGTTCCCCATGAGACCTCTAAGGGGCACAGACAGCAAAGACCCAGGCTACCTAGGGTTAGCGTGCTCCCAGAGAACCCAAAGGGGATCTGCTCTTACCTCCTCCTCTGTCTCTGCTGGGTCCTGGGGGTCAGCCTGAGCCAACTCCTCTGGGCTCTGGGGCTCACTTTCCTCCTGAGTCAGCATCTCCTGGGGTTCCACCAATGGGCTCAGGCACAACCCTTCCAGTGGGACTTCAGCTTGGCCTGGTCTGTCATTGTCCTCCTGGTCGTGCCCATGGGGCCTGTGGGAGGAAGAGGGAGGCAGAAGCAAGGGTCATTGGGTTGCTTGGTTTGAGCCCCTGCCCATTTCCAAGACACAGTTTGCCCATCTGGAAAATAGGTACAGACGGAATAGTTGAGAGTCAAGGAATTTGAGGTTTGAGGAATTCCTCAATGTTTGGGGAGGAATCTTAGTGGTATAGTAGGTTAAGCACCGAACTTCTAACTGTAAGGCCAGCAGTTCAAACCCACCAGCTGCTCCAAGGGGACAATGATGAGGCTGCCTGCTCCCATAAAGGGTTTGCAGCTTCAGACGCTCTCTACAAGCTTCCTATGAGCTGGAATCAACTCAGTGGTCATTGCTTAGGTATCATAGTGACGTAGCCAAAGGACCCCAGAGCCAGCCCCTCTTTGGAGCCCTCTGAGAACCCTCATGGACACTGGCCCACAGGATGTCCCAGCCATGGGACATTCACTCTCAGAGCCTGGGTCCTAGATCTTTCCTGGACAAGATCTAGCCTTGTGTCTCGCTTGTCCACACCCACCCTAAGGTGTCTGCCCTGGGCTGGCTGGTCCCCAGGGACCAGGGGCTGCTTGGATGTCCTGCTCCAGCTATGGTCAGTGTGGAATCAGCAGGTCTTAGGAGAGGGTGAAGAGATGGGGTCTGTGGGTGGTCTGGGGGTACTGTTTTAGCTGCAGGACAAGTCCAGGTAGAGGATCACAGGAGAGGGACCAACTGTGCTGGCCACAGGGGAGGCGAGGTGCCAGGCAGCTGCCAGCGTGGCTCTCACTGGAGTGCAGCTGAACTTGGAGGAGAAGACGGGAAACCGTGGCATTTTCCATGGTCTCAGGCCTCTTGGTGTACATGCCAGCCACGACCCAGACCCACCCACCCAAGGTGGGCTGGGGTCTGAGCCAGGACAGCCACACAGAGGACCATTCAGAGCTCATGGGGTAGGTAAGCCACAGGTGCAGAGTGGTGGGAGGTCTGCCGAGCTGCCAATCCTGATTTCCAGCCGAAGAGTCCAAGTGCCCTCTGCTGTCAGGAGCCAGCCAGTAGGGCTTGCAGAGAGTAAGGGAGCCCCAGAGCCAGTGGACAGGCCCACCCTGCTGGCCCTAGACTCCTCCAGAAATTCAAGGCAGACACCCACTCCCCAGGGTAAGGGCTGAAACTGCAGCCCAGGAATGTGGTGGACAGAGGGCCAAGCCAGGACCAATGTCCCCTGAACTGTGGGAGCCTGACTTAGGATGGAAAAGAGAAGGTTAGGCAATGAGAGGGGCTCAGTGCTGCACCAGGACCTAGGACAGAATGGGGGTGACCCACAGAAGGGAGAAACAGTGGAGAACCCTGTTCCTAGGGGCAGGTAGTGGTCACCAAGACAGCCAGGGGTGGGGGTAGGGCGTGCTGACAGCAGCTAAGACCATGAATTGTGGGGAGGGGAGAGAGGCTTGGGGAGTAGCCCCAGGCCCCTGGCCTGCCCTGATTCAGACAGACGCACACACGCCCGCACATCTGGAAATACCTGCTCCCCTCCTCCGTGGGAATGGAGACCGGCCAGGCCCGAGGGAGGAAGGGGCGGGCGGTTTGGGGGCCTCGGAGCCTCCATTACGTAAGTGAGCTGCAGATGTGTGCTGATGTGGCCGCAGCTGCTCTGGATGAGGCCCAGGAATGAGATGTCCTCACTGCCCCCTCCCCACAGGTCCCTCGGCCCCTCTCCCATCTCACTCTCCCCTCACAGTAACAGGGGTATCTTGGGGGCTGGCTGAGAGGGAGATCCAAGGGGCCCCTGTACTGGGGCGCTAGTCAGGGGGTTGAGGAAGGGTCTGAATCACTTACTTGTCTTCCTCTGGGTTGTTCCCCTGAGTGGCTTCTCTGCCATCTGTGGTCAGCAGCACTTGTGGCCCTGGTTTCTGGGACCAGTCTCCAAAACCCTCATCTTCCTCCAGTTCAGGGGTCACTGAGGGTTTCAGGGTGAGCCTAGAGGAGACCAGGAGTTTAGGTCTGGGAGTCCCTGGGGCCGGACCACTTTAGCTCAGACTGCAGTCTAGGGCTCCCTGAAGGTGGGGCTGTGTTCCCCCCAAGCCCCCACCCCTTCAGTCTGGTTTCCTCAGTACAGTCCCTCAGTTCTCCTCAGGCTCCGTTCTGAACCTAATATCCTTGTAGGTTGCTGTGCAGGCCTCCTGTGACCAGTCTCCCAGGCTCCTCACCTGGGCCCTCCTGGGGAAACTTGGTACTTTGTGGTGAGGGGCTCTTGTGTGTGCGTACCCCGTCTGTCTCCACTGTCCCAGACCCCTGCCCCTAGAGCTGCCCCGGGACCTGTGACTGCTGAGGTACCCCACCCAGGCAGAACTGCTGACTTGGGGAAAATGCAAACAAAGCTGAGCTGGGAGGAAGGGGAGTGATGTTGGAAAAACACCCAGCCCGCCCCATCCTCCAGGGCCTGGGGAGGAAATGAGCCGGCCAGGGTCCCGCCAAGTCAGCCCTGGCCTCCATGAATCATGGCCTGGGCGGGGGGCGCTGGGGCCCGGGTCATGCAGCTGGGACCAGGGACGTCCAAGAAAAGATGGACCCTGGTTCAAGGAAGCCAGAGACTGAGTCAGAGCCCCAAGGGGCAGCCACGTCCGAACTGCTGGCCAGCAAGGGATGACTGAGGACCCTCACCCTGAAATCACTCTGCATCTGTCCTGCCCTCTTCCCCTGCTTTGGGACCTCAAGTCCAGGGCTCTCCCCAGCTTCTCCTCTGCGTAGACTCTGGACACACGAAGTTGGGGTGCCTGCCCTAGGTGCCCTGCGTAGCAGCTTACAGTTTGTCCTGTTCCGATCCTGGGGCCTGGTCATTGGCATCCTCATCCTCGCTTTGAAGCTGCCTGTCCCGTTCACGCCGGCGGCGCTCTCTTGCTGCCTCTTCCTCGTCCTCCACGCTCCATTGATTGGTGAGCCTGAGGGACCAAGAGGACAGTCAGGCACAGCCAGAGACAGGATGTCAGCCCACTTCTCCCTGACCACCCTGGACCTCAGTTTACCCATCTTTAAAAGAGAGATCATGTGAGTCCCAGGGCCTCGGAGCCTCAGCAGGCCTAGGAAAACCCAAGGATGGGGCTTGAGACCTCCTTCCACATGCTGCCCTGTAAGGAGTTGGCACTGGCTTGGCAGGGCACCATACATCTTCCCCAAATCCATGTGTCTGTGGCCAGTCAGGCACTGTGGGTCAGGGTAGGACGCCAGCAGGCAGCCCGATGGGCTTCTCATTCCTGCTCCCTAAAAGTGGGCACATCGGGAGTGGGTGGAACCACTGTTGCTCTGCCCCTGGGCACATCCTGGGCTGACCCTGCAGCAGAGGAACCCCACAGGCTGGCTCACTCATCACTACCTTCAGCATTAGTTCAGGGTCCCCTCTGGACTGGGGAGGTAGAGCTTCAAAGATGGGGAGACTGAGGCCCACTGCAGAACCAGCATGGAAGGGCTTTTCCCTTAGTACCCTAACACCCACACCTACCCTAGTCCTTCTACCACAGGTGGGTACAATCAGAGCAAAGCTCAGGGTCTGTCCCCTGCCCAGTGGGCTTCGGGCTGGGATCTGACCCCTCCTGTGCATGTCCGCCGTGTGACCCTGAGCTGTTGAGAGACTGTGTGATGTTCCCTGGCACTCCTCGGAGCCAGCCCATGATCTAATCTCCCTCCCAGGTCTCCCTAAACCTCTCAGACAAAAGCCAGACCCTCCACAGGCGCAAGTTCAAGGCCCGTTTCCCCCCAGCGGCCACGTGGGACTTCAGCCACACAAACCAGACCGCCTGCTCCGACCTCACACCCCCACCACCCGCCCACCACCAGGCCCCTCAGAAGTGCCTTCGGCTCCCACCCCCATAGGCCCCGAGGAAGCCACTAATTCCCTACACCTGGCTCCCATCAGCTCCACAGATGAAGCCTCACTTCCTGCCTCAGCGGGGGCGGGGGCGGGAGGGGGGCAGGGGCGAGGGGCCCCTTCTACCTGGGGAGGTAGAGCCTGGAGTCTGCTTATGGCTGTCGACTGAAGTCTAAAGCCCAAACTGAGGGTCTAAAGACCAGAGGTGGGCAGAGGTGGAGAAAGTGTGGTGTCTGGGTCCACAGTGTGTTCCTGGGATAGATTCCCAGTGTCCAGAGAAGAGTCCTTGGAGGGGGACTGGACTCCCCGTTGTGCGTCCCCCATTCCTCTGTCTGTGTCTGCTCATGACCATGGGCCTGGGTGTGTCTGTGTGTGTCCTGGTGTGCATCTGTGTATCTTCTGCTGTGTGACTGTGTGTATTCTGGTGTGTATCTCTGCGTGTGACTTTGTGTGTATATACTGTTGTGTGACTCTGTGTGTTTCCTGTGTTGTTACTGTGTGTGTATATACTGGTGTGGTTTGTGCCCCGGTGTGTGTGTGTGTGTGTGTGTGTATACTTGTGTATGATGGTGTGTGTGCTCTGGTGTGTGACAATGTGTGTGTTTCTTGGTGTGTGACATTGTGTGTGTGTCCCAGTGTTTGATGATGTGTGTTTGCGTGTGTCTCGGTATGTGACAGTGTGTGTATGTGTGGGTCTGTGGTCCCGGAGACCTCCTCTGGGACCCCCACTAGATGGCCAAGGCTCCCTCAATGCCCCCGGGCCCTTTCCCTTGTTTCCCAGGAGCACCCCACACGTGCAGGTCTACTCAGCACACATGTTCCACAGACCACAAAGGGCTCATGTAGATCCATGCACACCCATGGATACGTCTTCACTTGTACACACACCTACACACACCTGAATACAGACAGGAGTGGGCACGCCTCAGCTCTGTCATCCACAGAGAGGTACCCCAAGCTTCTTGTGTGATAACTCAGGTCTGTGTACATATGCCACCCCTGTGCTCACATGCACACATACATGCATGTACACCAGTCTCAGACATGGGAACAAGGGATGCAGAATGGCCAGTGGTATTCCCCCCCGCCAGCACACTGCTGACTGCCTTCCTCCCATCACCTGGACAACACACTGCAGCCTTCAGTGAAAGGTGAGTACCAGACTCATAGAGTCCCCTCAGTGGCCAGGGATTGGGGTGGCGTGAACACGGCTGTGGGAGGGGGTCTCTGGTGTCTCCTCTAAAGCCCCTGGCCTGGGCCAGTGAGATGACCTGGCCCCCACCTCCACACCCACACATCTCCCCTGCCCAGGATGTGAGTAATGAGGCCTGCAGCCCCTCCCTGTGACCTCACTGTGCCTCCACAGCTGGACCCCTTTCTGGGAACTGGGAGGGGAGGCTCTCTTGGGGTGGGGTGGGGGCCTCTTGGCGTGCACAGAGCTGTCAGGGTTATGATGCTGGCCTGCAGCTGCCTGGGATTGGCTGTTCCTGCAGAAAAGCAATTAGCTGCTTCCCTCCCGTGTCTGTGCTGGGTCAGCCATGGCTCCAGGTTCAAGAAAAGGTCACTCAGGGTGGGCTCTGTGCCCCTGCACCCCACTGCAGGGCCTTGTACCCCAAAATGGACCAGTATGCACAGACCTACAAGAGGCCCATGATGCCAACCCAATCTCCTGTTGATAGGGAGCCCCAAGTTCAGAGGCTGCCCGCACCAGAACAGGGCCCCCACGTCACCTTCCCACCTGCCCCCACCAGTACATGGCTCCCACCTCACCTTCCCACCTGCCCCCACCAGTACATGGCTCCCACCTCACCTTCCCACCTGCTCCCACAAGAACACGGCCCCCACCTCACCTTCCCACCTGCCCCCACCAGTACATGGCTCCCACCTCCCCTTTCTACCTACCCCCACCAGAACACAGCCCCCACCTCCCCTTCCCACCTGCCTGTAGCCAGGACATGGCCCACTCTCCCTCCTCTCCCTCCTCTCCAGCTCTCCAGAGCTTCCCTACAGCCTCCCCTAAGGCTCTAAGGGTTACTGTTGTTCTTGTCTGCACCCTCTCACCTCCCACCTCCCCGGCTCCTTCTGTCCACTGTGGGCTCCAGAAAGGCTGTGGACACTGTCCTCTGCCCCAGCAGGCCATACTTGCAATTTCCAGCTGAAGCCCCACACCTGGCTGGCAGGTTGAGGACAGAGAGGGTTTGCTCTGACTCCTGGCTGGGGCGGAGGGGAGGAGGACAGTCCTGGGTTCCTCTCAGACACCCATCTGGTGCACTGAGGTCTCTGGTCAGCCCCCTGTTTCCTGTATCTCCAGTGGACACTGCGGGAGGGGCTGGAGAGACAGGACACTGAGTCGCAGAGCTGGAACCTGAGCACCATGCTGGGTGGGGGACAGCACCTGGGACGATGGTACCCCGTACCCAGGGACAGTGTTCTTGCTCAATGCTGGGTGTTGCCCCAGGCCACCCAGGGAGGGTGTGATGTTGTAGTTCCTTGCCTATCCCAGCTGGTACCCACAGTGGGTCTGGCCATGGGCACCCCCAGGAAAGCATCCACCCCCAGGAGAACTGGGAGGACAGAGACACTTCAGGCAAGCAGGTGGGTGAGGGTGGGGTGGGCAGGAGGGGTGTCCTTCACCCAGAGCTGGGTTGTGGGGACAGGGAGCCATAGCTGCCAGGAATGAAAGCCCCCACCCAGAACACCTGGCACTGGGCCATCACCCCCTCTCCACGGCCCCTCCCTTGCAGCATCCCAGAGCACCTTTCTGGGTGTGTCCTGTGCTGGGAGGTGGGGTCCTTCCCCAGGGTCAAGCGCCCTGAACAGGATCTAAGCGACAAGGAGGATTAGCTGGACTACAGAGGAGCTCAGATGGCCCAGCTAAGGGTTAAGTACGCCCAGGGTGGGCTGGGGTCCCACTGTGTCCTGAAGGGACTCAGACCCACGTCAAATAAGAGTGTCCTGGCATCAGAGTAAGCTGGTGAGGGACCCAGACCAGGCAGCGAGGAGAGAAAGAGGCAAGGGGCTCAGGCTGGGCCTGCTGAAAGTGGGGGATTGGACGGGGAGACCCCAGAAAGCTTCCGTGTCTGACTTGAGTCCTGGGATGGCAGATCTGTGCAGATTGTGGGGTGTGGGAGACTCATGCTGAGTCAGAGGGACCCCACAGCGGGGCTGGGATTAGAGGTGAGAGTGAGTCAGAACTGGCTGCAAACAGCTCCCCTCTCCTGCCTGCCCCTTGTGTCCCTCAGTCACTGGGGTGTCCTCTTTGCCCAACTCCCTCCTGGGCCACGTCTCCTGGGCGTGTTGCTGCTTCCCCGTGGCTAGCACCTGGGGCCAGGGCTGGGGTTCGGTTGGTCTGGAGGATGTGGGAGCCACAGAAATTTCTGAGCAGGGAGAGGGAGGATGGAGGCCGGAGGGCAGGCTGCAGGGAGAGACGGGGCATAGGCCTCTGTCAGGCCGCTGTCATCTTAGGGGACCTAGGATAAGGCAGCGGGAGAGTTCATGGAAGAAAATGTGGCTGGACATGGCCCAAACAGAGGGGGATAGCCGGCGACTGGGGCCATGCCCAGCAAGAGGAGGAGATGACATACAAGCTGTACCTGACCCCCTCCAGTCCAGGGACCCTGGGCCAGCCTCTTCCCAAATCACCTCCCACAGGGGAGACTGAGACCCCGCCTCTCCATGCTGGCACGGTCCCTGTTTGATCCCTTCTTGGCTCCAGGCCCCTCGGTATTTCTGACCCTCAGCTTCCCATTGTCAGAATTTGCCACGGAGTCCTTATTGGACGTAGAAAACAGTAGAGTCCCAAAGAGAGGCAGGTGAGCAGCTGGCTAACCATTCCCTGTTTCTGAGTCCGTCTGTCCTCCTTGGAGGAGGAGGCACTGAGGTCTGGACATATGCCTATAAAGTTGGCTTCCCAGCCCCCAGGGATAGAGTAGCACTGGGGCTTTATCTCTGCAGGGGAGACAAGTGAGCATTGCCACTCCTCAGCTATCCCAAAGCTGGTGAGGAGACAGGCCCATCTCACAGCTGCCTTCCATGCCAAGTGTCCCTGCCAGGGATGCTCTTAGCCAGGCCCTGACAGCCCTTTAGAGGTTCTGTGTCCAGGTCCTCTGAACTCCACT